ATAACTGCACCCAGAACGAGCTGGTTCACGAACCAGCTTTCCTCCTCACTTCCTCCCCCCACCAGCTGCTTGGCTGTTAGAGCTGAGTATGCTTCCTGTTTACAAAGAGATATGAAATAGATTAGTTGAAGAGTCCACGCCTAATGCTTTGCCACTTCCTTCTACTTCTCAGGATGAATTTCACTTGGCCTTGGAATTTTATTTGTCTTTGGAAGTCACGGACTTGATGATGTTTGGAGATTTATGACTGTATAAGACCCTATCTGTAAGGTGCGCAGTTCACGTGACTCGTCTTATTTTATATTTATGGACCCTACCATGTTCCAAAGAGGATTTCCTAAATATATTGTGCAAAAGATTAAAAAAAAAAAGTAAGTGATGAAGTTGAGCCAAGCAAACATTAGGGAAGGGAATAAAGCAAATGAATTAAGAGACAAGTAAAACACAATATTGCCTAAACACATATTGCCTAAAATCCTGGGTAGAGGTTGCCCAGCTGGCTCAGTCCGTGAAGCATGTGACTCTTGATCTTGGGGTCATGAGTTGGAGCTCCATGTTGGGCATGGAGCCCACTTTCAAATAAATAAATAAATAAATAAATAAATAAATAAAAATACAGTTTCTGCTAGAAGTTAGAGATGTACTACAAATCTTGTTCTGAGCTTCCTGGTCGTCACAGCAAATAAGGAAATACTTCTGATGTGGTTTTCAGATTGAAACAAACTAATTACCTGGACGATGTAGCTGGTTCTTGTGTGTGTGTGTGTGTGTGTGTGTGTGTGTGTGTTTTAAGATTTATTTATTCATTACTTCTGATGTGGTTTTCAGATTGAAAACAAACTAATTACCCAGACGACATAGCTGGTTCTTTTTTTTTTTTTTAAGGATTTATGTATTCATTTGAGAGAGAGAGAGAGTGCACCAGCAGGAGGGGCAGAGGGAGAGGGAGAGCAGTTCTCGAGCTGCCTCTGCACTGAGCGAGGAGCCCGACTCAGGGCTCCATCTCACACCCCTGAGATCACAAGCTGTGCCAAAACTAGGAGTCGGATGTCTAATCGACTGTGCCACCCATGTGCCCCAACATGGCTCGTTCTAATTCTTTATACAAGAAGGGGAGTTGAGGGGTGCCTGGGTGGCTCAGTTGGTTAAACGTCTGCCTTCAGCTCAGTTCATGATCCCAGGGTCCTGAGATGGTGCCCACATCAGGCTCCCTGCTCGGTAGGGAGCCCGCTTCTCCCTCTCCCTCTGCTGCTCTCCCTGCTTGTGCTCTCTTGCTCTCTCTTTCAAATAAATAAATAAAATCTTTTAAAAAAAGAAGACTCAGAAAACTGAAAATTTTTAATCCCAGGAAATGCTGTATGCTTTTGATGCCCTTCAGAAAACCCAAAAACAAAAATTTCACTTTTCAAATCTGATAAATTAGAGTTGGCGTTTCTCACTGCAAAATAGTCATTATTTTTCCCCCAAGCAGTCCCTCTAAGATACTTAAAAGGCACTCGCTATTTAAAACTTAAACAGTAATAACATGACATGGTTAAGTATTTGCTTACAGATAGATTTCTATAGGGTCTGGTGGGACCCGAAAAACCTTCCAGTTCTTTCCAGTTCAATATGGAAACATCATTAACATTTTTTTCAAATTGTAGTAGAGATCACATAGCATTAAATTTATCATCTTAATCATTCGAAATGTGCAGTTCAGTAGTGTTAAGTATGTTCACATTTGTTGTGCAACAGACCTCCAGAACCTTTTCATCTTACAAAACTGAAACTCTATACCCATTAAATACCTTCCCACTTCCCCTTCCCCGCCAGCCCCAGGCAACCACCATTCTACTTTCTGCTTCTAGGAGTTTTCTACCTTAGGTACCTCCTATAAGTAGAATCATACATTTGTCTTTCTGTGACAAGCTTATTTCATTGAGCGTCATGTCCTCAAGGTCCATCCATGTTGTAACACCCTGACAAGGATTTCCTTTTAAAGATGGAATGATATTCTATTGTAGGCATTATCACATTTTCTATATTCATTCGTCTTTGGACGTTTGAGTTGCTTCCACAGCCCAAGTTGTCAATAATGCTACAATAAACACAGGCGTGCAAACATCTCTTTGAGAACCTGCTTTCAGTCCTTTGGGGATATATACCTCGAAATGGGATTGCTGGGTCCAATGATAATTCTAGGGGTGCTGGTTAAGTATCTGCTTTCAGCTCAGGTCATGATTTCGGGGTCCTGGAATTGAGCCTCTGCATGGGGGGCTGTCCCTGCTCAGTGGAGAGTCTGCCCTTCCCCCCACTTGTGTGTTCACACTCTTTTTAATGCTTTGAGGAACATGCACACTGTTTTCCATAGTGACTTCACCATTCGAAACTCCCACCAACAGCGCACTAGAATTCCAGTGTCTCCACATTCTTGCCAACACTTGTTGTTTTCTGTGAGACCATTAGCTTTTGAGGAACAAAGGAACAGACTGACACACTTGAGATTTTTTTTTTTAGATTTTATTTATTTATTTTTTTGACAGAGAGAGATACAGTGGGAGAGGGAACACAAGAGGGAGAGTGGGAGAGGGAGAAGCAGGCTTCCCGCTAAGCAGAGAGCCGGATGAGGGGCTCGATCCCAGGACCCTGGGATCATGACCTGAGGTGAAGGCAGACACTTAACGACTGAGCCACCCTGGCGCCCCACACCTGAGATTTTGTGTGTGGTGGCAGTGCCTCAGCTCATCCACAGTCCAAGTACGCTTCTAACATATCCTTCAGTTGTTCAGATGAAACATTTCTAGGGGTGCCTGGCTGGCTCCGTCAGTAGAGTGTGTGATTGTTCATCTCGGTATCATGAGTTTGAGTCCCATGGTGGGTGTGGAGATTGCTTAAAAATAAAATCTTGGGATGCCAGGGTGACTCAGTGAGTTAAAGCCTCTGCCTTTGGCTCAGGTCATGGTCTCAGGGTCCTGGGATCGATCAGCGCATCGGGCTCTCTGCTCAGCGGGGAGCCTGCTTTCTCCTCTCTCTCTGCCTGCCTCTCTGCCTACTTGTGATCTCTGTCTGTCAAATAAATAAATAAAATCTAAAAAAAAAAAAAACCCATTTCTATTAGCACCCCCTTAAATCAAAGACTGAGGTATAAAATCTAACAAAATACATGCCAGATCTACAAAAGTCTGATGAAGGAAATCAAGGAACAACCGAAGAAATAGATATTCTGTTTGTGGATAAGAAAAATCCGTGTTGGTAAGACACCAGTTATTTCCAACTTGGCCTGTAGTTCAGTCAAAATGCAAGCAAGTTATTTTGTGGATTTCAGCAAATCGCGTTTATGTGGAAAAGCAAGAGAATCTGGAATCGCCGGTGCAATATTAAACAAGAACAAAGTCGGAGGACAGACATGACCCAACTGCAGGACTTACTGTGAAAATACGGTAATCAAGACAGCGTGGGAGGCGCCTGGGTGGCTCAGTGGGTTAAGCCATGATCTCAGGGTCCTGGGATCGAGTCCTGCATCGGGCTCCCCAACTATGCTCTCCCCTCCCCCCTGCTCATTCTCGCTCCCTCTCTCAGATACATAAAGAAAATCTTAAGAAAAAGATAGTGTGGTATTAATGGCGGAGTAGACAGATAATGGAAGAGAACAGAGAGCTCAGAAGTGGACCCGCACTAATATAGTCAGTTGTTTTTTTTTTTTTACAAAGGAACGAAGGGGCAGTTCAATGAAGAAAGGCTAGTCTTTTCAGCAAATACTGCTGGAACACCTGGGCATGCACCGGCAATCAGAAGGAGTCTAGATACTGACCTTACACCTGCAACAAAAACGAGCTGAAGACGGGCCATAAAGCTAAACGGAAAACACGACGCTAAAATATTTCTGGAAAATAACATAGCAGAAAACCGAGGTGACCTGGGGTTTCACCAGGAGTTTTCAGACACAACAGCAGAAGTACAAACTACAAAAGAAAAACTCAAGATGATCTTCACGGTACCTGGGTGGTTCTGTCCGTTCAGCATCGGACTCTTGACCTCAGCTCAGGTCTTGATCTCAGGGTCCCGAGTTCGAGCCCCAGCATAGAGCTTGCTAGGAAAAAAAGAAAGAAAGAAAGAAAGAGAGAGAGAGAGAGAGAGAGAAAGAAAGAAAGAGAAAAGAAAACAAGTCAAAGCCACAAGGCAATGCCACTATACATACACCTATTAAAATGGCTAAAACCCAAAATACTGACAACACCAGATACTGGTGAGGAAATGGGTTAGCAGGACGTCCCATTCATTGCTGTGGGAATCCAAGACGTTTGACCACTTTGGAAGATGGTCTGGCAGTTTCTTACAAAACAAAATGTCATCTTACCGTAGGATTCGGCAATGGCATTCCTGCAATTGCATTAGTATTTACCCCCAAGTGAGTTGAAAACGTATGTCCTCACAAAAACCTGCACATGAATGTTTACAGCAGCTTTACTCATAATTGCAGAAAATTAGAAACAACCACGATGTCCTTCGCTAGGCAAATGGATATAAACAAACAGTGGGACACCCAAACAATGGAACGTATTATTCAGCGCTTAAAAGGGAATGAGCTATCCAGCCACGAAAACACATGGAGGAAGTTTAAATGCGTTTTTGCTAAGTGAAAGAAGCCGATCTGAAAAGGTTTCACTCATCCTGTATGATTTCAATTATAGAGCATTCCAGGAAAGGAAAAACTATGGTGGCAGTAAGAAGATCAGCAGTTGCCAGGGGTTCCGGGAACCCGGGAGCTGGCGGAGGGGGGCAGGGCTGGGGAGAAATGAGGAGGTGCTGCCCGGATTTATAGCGGTGAAACTACTCTATGATGCGTTAGTAGTAGACATATGACATTACGCATTTGATGAAACCCACGGCACCGTAGACCACAAAGAGGAGACCCTACTGCATGTTATGAACTTAGTTAATAGTGAGGTATCCGTGTTGGTTCATCGATGACGACAAATGTTCGACATCACTGCAAGATATTAAAAATTGAAGAAATTGTGCTCGCTTCTGTAGCCCGTATACGGAGATTGGAACAATACAGAGAAAATTAACCTGTCATCTATACAAGGATGATGTGTAAATTCATGTCATGTTCCATATTTAAAAAAAAAAAATCGAGGGGTGCCTGGGTGACTCCGTTGGTTGGGCGTCTGTTTGCCTTTGGCTCAGGTTATGATCCCAGGGTCGTAGGATCTAGTCCTACATCAGCCTTGCTTCTAGGCGGGGAAGTGTACTGCTCCTCTCCCTCTCCCTGTTCCGGCTCTCAATCTCTCTCTCTCTCTCACAAACGAATACATAAAATCTTTTTTTAAAAACTGAGGAAATCATGTGTGAGGTGAAGGGAAAGGGGTTATATGGAAAAACTGTACTTCTGCTCCATTTTCCTTTTAACCTAAAACTGCTCTAAATAATAAAGTCTATTAATTTTTCGAAAGTGAATGGTCTCGCAGCAGACCATGCCTTGTGTCTTCCTGGGAAGACGACATTTCCCTGTTCTCCTAGGGTTCTGTTGGGCCCCAGTGTCTTGAGTTCTGGGCACTAAACGGAAACAATGTAAACCATTTCCACGCATGGTCCTTCAAAAGTCCCTCCAGCCCTTCCTTCTTTTGGCAATGACCTTGCTCGGGATGATGGGGCTACAAGACTGGGGGGCTATCCAACTCTCACTGGATTCTGGAAGAAGGAGGAAAAATCCCCTCCTGTTATTGCAGTAAAAGCCACAGAGCACCTCAGGATTTCCTATCGCGACACAGCATAATATAACTGGACCAGAAACACCACCGAAAGTCTTATAACAAAACAAACAACAGCGAAAGCAGCCGGTCCCCTGCCTCACATCCTCTCACGTTCCATCTTCTTCCCCAGACGACCACTTGCAATGTTTCAGCAACTTCTTTGGGCATTTATGTCCACATTTCTAAATATGATTTTAATTCTAACTTTGTCTTTACCAATTTTAGGTATTATCGATGAACTTCCTGTTACAGCAAATGAGTTAGCATTCTTAAAGGATCAACAGCCCTGATTGTCCCCTTTCCAACTTTACAATGTGATAAATGTGCCATCTGGGGCTAAATCCCATTCAGTTTTTACATTATGCAGAATATGCAAGTGTAGGACTCTGATGAGCCAGATGCTACAGTGGCATTACTTTGCCTTTCTTTTTCTTTTTTTCTAAAGACTTATTTACTGAGGCGACTGGATGGCTCAGTGGGTTAAGTGTCTGCCTTCAGCTCAGGTCATGATCCCGAGACCCTGAGGTCAAGCCCCGCATCAGGCTCCTGGTTCAGCGGGGAGCCTGCTTCTCCCTCTGCCCACCACTTCCCCTGGTTGTGCGCTCCCTTGCTCTCTCTTTCTCTCTCTGACAAATAAATAAATAAAATCTTTTGTAAAAAGATTTTATTTATTTATTTATTGGACAGACAAAGCACAAGCGGGAGGGACAGAGAGAGAGAGAGAGAGAGAGAGCATCTCCAGCAGACTCCCCACCGAGTGTGGAGTCCGCACGGGGCTTGATCTTATGACCCTGAGATCACAACCTGAGCCGAAATCCAGAGTCTCATGCTCAACGAACTAAGCCACCCAGGTCCCCCTACATTTCCTTTCTTGAGCAAGTTTTAATTTTACTTGTATCTGTGTTTTTATTTGTCTTGTTTTATTTTTATTTGCTTCATTGTTTTTTGTAGATTTCCCTATCACGAATTTTTTTCCATACTTCCACAGTGGATACTTGTCATTCCTTGCTGCCCAGATGCTAAACCCTTCCTGTATTTGGGGAATTTCCCCTTAGGAGACTTGTGGGAAGCAGAATCTCCTCCAGGGAAATGGAAGATTCTAGAAGCTCACTTTCTCAGCCACTTGCAGCTAAGGCACTCAACTCAGACATCACTCATCAGATGCACACATCTCAATAGGTAATTGCTGGGTGCAGAAGCAGAACATGCAAGGAGCATTTTTTTGGCAGAAGAAGTCACAGCGGGGTAGCAGTGCACGACAGTGGCAGTGACCTGTGCCGGGGATCTGTCAGTGCCATCTCTGCAAGCTGCCGTGCCTGCTACTTGGGGACAGCAGCAGTGTCATCCTGACTATACCAGCTGACAGCCCAGCAGAGGAGCTGTCTCTAGTTGGGTAGCTATGATGGACGTTCTCCAGCCCACATGGGATTTTACAAGTCACCTAATACTCCTTCAATAAGTTCCCTTTCTTCTTAAGTCAACTAGAGTTGGTTCTTCCTAGCTTACAGAAAAGAACGGCTAGCAATACAGTTTTCCACATGGTCACAGGCAGGGCCACCTTCCTGGGTGTGTGACCTGGGCAGGAGGCACCAGACCCCACTCTCAGAAGAGCCCACCCACTTGCTCTGATTCCACCATCTTGAAATTCTTTTTTTTTTTTAGAAAAAAATTTTTTTTAAAGATTTTATTTATTCATTTGAGAGAGCATGAAAGAGAAGGTCAGAGGGAGAAGCAGACTCCCCAAGGAGATGGGAGCCCAATGCGGGACTTGATCCTGGAAGTCCGGGATCATGACCTGAGCCAAAGACAGTCACTCAACCAACTGAGCCACCCAGGCACCCTGAAATTCTTAAGCTTTAAGCAAGATGCGTGTCCGTTTCCCTCTTGCAGGGGGCCCTGCAACTTAGGCAGCCAGCTCTGGCTGCACAGAGTAGATAATGTGTGAATTTCCCTTTTTTCCAGGAGATCTCATTCCCGGAGTCATCTGCCCTCTTCTTCCCATCTGGAATGAGCCCCCGCAGGGGGGTCTTGCTGAGTCCTCCTTGTGCCATGGGCTTGGAAGTTTTCCTTGCCTTGCTCCTTCCTGGGTTGGAGCCACTGTCTCCTGGATACTTGTCTTTCTGTTTTTCTCTCATCTGGGTGGAGCACATCATCAATCACTTTCTGGGGAAAAGTGCATGCGAGGTAAAATGTTTTGAGCGTTTGCATATCTGAAATGTTGATTGATAGATTGTCTAGATGTAGAGTTAGTTCTGTGTTAACGATATTTTTCACACAATATTTTGAAGGCTGTGTTCCTTTGTTCCTTCTGTGTTCCTTCTAGCTTTAATGTTATTTTTCAGAAGCTTGGGCCATCCTAATTCCCAAGTCTTTCAACGTGGTGCATGTCTGATTTTTCTTTCCTTAGTCTCTCTGAAAGCTCTTTGCCCACAGATTTCCTAGGGATGGCCCTCCAATATCAAAACACATTTCTTCATACTTCAGAAGGTTCAAGCTGGGAATAATAATGACAGAACTTCCCTCTTTCTTTCTTTTTCATTCCACAAGTTATTTACTGAGGACTTACTGAGTGCTGGGCAGTCTGCTAAGTGCTGGGCTTTCGAGGGTAGAAGGGGCCGACAGCACTCTTGCCCTCGGTGGAGCTTGTGTTATAGTGAGCAGACAAGGATGTAGAACTAGATCATACAATTGCATATGTTGGCACTTACTATGATGAAAAAAGAGTGTTGTGAAAGTGAAGCAGGAGGGTGGCCCAGGAAAGTCTCTCTGAGATCTGTAGGATGGGAAAGAGTCAGACAGGTAGAGAGTCAGGATGGAATGTTCCAGGTGGAAATTTCCACAGATGCCGAAGTTCTTATGCCAGTCTCGTGTTCAGGGGAGTCTGATTAGGATTCCTGTTACCTCTCAAATCTCACCTCTCACTTCCCTCCAGCCCTTCTGGCCTCCTTGCTGTTCTTGGAACAAACTGAGTGTGCCCCAGCCTCGGGCCTTTGCACTTCTATCCCTGCTGCTAAGAATGCTCTTCCCCCACATATCTGCATGACTTGTACCCTCGCCGCCTTCAGGCTTCAAGTATCACCTTCTTGAGCCCATCTCTGGCTCCTGTGTTGAAACCTGCAAACCAATCCCCCAACGTCTCTACTCTCTTCTCTCTGCTCCCCCCCGTCACTTAGTACTGATTCCCATCCAACATACTGTTGATTTACTTGTCTTGTTTGCAGGCTGTCTTCCTTCACTAAAATATAAACTTCCCAAGGGCAATGATTTGTGTGCATTTTATTCCCCACTCTATCTTCAGCAAAAAAATAAATAATAATAATAATGTCCGGCATGCAGAAGCTTCCTGATAAATATGTTCTGAGTGAATGGATGACTCTGACTGGGAAAGAGTTTGGTGTACTTGGTGTACTTCTACACTGACAGTAGAAGGTCAGTGTATGGGACACGGTGAGCAGGTGGGGCAGGGCAGGAGAGGAGGTTGGAGAAGTAGGCAGAAGGTAGCCACATGGCCCTGGTAAGCCATGGAAAGGAGGGGGGATTTTATCCTAAGAGGAATGGAAGACCTTTCAAAAGGTCTAAGCAGTTGAGCAGTTGAGCAAAAGAATCTAACCAACCTGAAATTTTTAAAAAAGATTTTATTTATTTGAGAGAGAGAACAGAGTGAGATAGAGCGGGGGAGGCAAGCAGGGGTGAGGGGCAAAGGGAGAGGTAGAAGCAAACTCCCCACTGAGCAAGAAGCCCGATTCAAGGGCTCAATCCCAGGACCCTGAGATCATGACCTGAGCTGAAAGGAGATGCTCAAATGACTGAGTCTCCCAGGCATCCCAAGTTCAATAGTCTTTTAGTGATGTGCCAGTCGCTGCAGACAAGGTTGGGACACAAAGATGAGTACACAAGATCCTTGCCCTCAAGGAACTCATGGCCTGCTAGGGAAGATAGGCAAACCAATCAATAACTACAATCCAGGTCAAAAGCAGAGTTTTACCCATAAACTAGGTAAACCAAGAGCACAGAGCATTAGAGAACAAGGAGAAGTTCCTTCCCTGGGGATGGAGAAGACTGGACTGATTCAGGAAATGCTAAGAAGTAGACACAGTCATGAGCCAAGCACAGAGAAGAGAAAATCCTAGACTGAGGACTTGGAAGGCCAGGGCAAGGATTCCTCTGGGTTCCGGGCCATAACTTCTGAGGACTGGTAGGATCTCACTTATCCTCCTCTGACCCCTCTTGGAGTCCACCTGGAACATTAACTACCAAACTGGGCTTGAAATCTGAAGGAAGATCTTACAAAAAGAGGTCAAGATCCCTAAACCATGCTCAGCTTGTAGCAGGGATCCTGAGACAAGGCTCAAGGGCAGATTTCTTGTCA